GGTCTCATTCCCAGATTTAGAAGCTTGCTTTGTCTTCTGATCCAGCTGTTTAAGTTTCGCTGCGCAGGCAGCAAGCCGCTCTTCTCGAGCCCGGCGTTCTTCCTCTTCACGTCTCTTGCGAGCGCGTTCAACTGCCTCAGATATCTCAGACTGTACAAACTTCTGCCTCGGAGGAACCTTGTCTTCCTTCTCCTCCACAGATGGCTGTCGAAGTAGTGCAGTAGGCGCAGGTTTCTAAAAAGAAAAAAAGGACACATGCAGGGGTGTAAACTTGGAAGCTCAAAGTTAAGTACTGATTTTTTTTTTTCTTTTTTTTTTTTAAAAAGGAACCATTTACTGAGAGAAATCTCTAATTTGTCATTGCACACATCCTTATAAGAAAGCCAGTTACTTGATTGTATGAATTAAATTCCAAGTCGCTAATCCAGATCTGGCCTCTGCACAGAAGAAACTGATTCCACAATTACAAGCTAGATAACTAATATTTTCAGCAATAGCTTCCATAATTCTTTTGATGTCACTGCCAACACTACAGATATTAACTCTACCCCCTTCAAGTTAGTAAGAAATATTAACCAATCATTTGGGGAAGAAAGAAAAAAACAAACAAAAAAAGAACAAAAAAAAAAAAACACAGAATTTATCAGCAGGCACAAAAATAGTCAAGCAAATAATTTTAGGGCCTGTGATGAGTGGCTTTAGGCTTGAAATCGATTGGCAAATGACAGAACTCTATTTATGTCCTGAGTTACATTGAATAAAAAAAATCTCTGCACATGGTCCATAGTACTTGATCTACTATATGTTTCATAAGTTAACAGGGATCAGCACTGGGAGCAAGAAGCATGCCCGATGAATAGATTCACAGTGATGCTTATTCTTGTAATGGGACAGAATGGTAATAGTCAAACACTATCAAGTTATTATTGCCATCTGTATCCTCGCTGGTAAAATTTCCACTCACATCCAGTTACACTGGAACGGCAAAACACAGAATAAAGTCCTGGCAAATGTTCTAAACCTTAGATATTCAAAAAAAAAAAAAAAAAAGTGAATTTGATGCAGTTTAGTCATATTAGTGAAAGATCCTATTACTTCCACTTCTTGAGACACCCAGCCACCAGAACATGAAGGAAGAGGACCTTTCCAACAAGACACGAAGAAAATTAAACCTCACGGTTTTACCTTTTCGTTAATTTGTTTGAAAAATGACCGGAGCTGGTCTTCAAAGAGACTATGTCTCTTTGCCCAATTAGGGCAACAAGTTCTCTTAAACACCCCACCCATGGTGAGAAACAAGAAGCAGGACTGATCCTCCTCTGTATACATTTTGGCTGCATGGATGGTACCTGGTGTTCTGCTACTGCAGCCCAACTGTTTGCCTTGCGGGGAGCTTGCTGTACAGGCTCAGGGGCTCTTCTTGTGGGACGATTGTGCATCCCCATGTCATTCCACACCTTCCCATCCTCAGCTGGGTGCTTTGTTTCAGCGCTGTCAGTGGAGTTAAAGGAAACTTGGCGCTGCCTTCTACACTCCCAGCCATTCCTGAAACCAATGGGAAATATTATCTCCTGGCAAATAGTCAAGTTTATAACCTTGTTGGAAACAGATGTTAGGAATAAAAATGACAAAAATCCTACACAAGTTCTTTTTTTTTTTTCTTCCTAAACACAGGTTGCAACCTGTGCCAGGTTCTTACTGCCATGTTCCCACCAGACAGCATTCCATTCACTTCCTCTCACAGTGAAAGGCATTAGACATAAAGTGAGCAGAATTCTCACCATGATGATGCAAACTGAAATGAACATCTTCGTGCAATAAGAAAAGGTTAAACCTTCTATCAAATTTTCAGCATTGGAAATGAGGACAATTTTTTTTTTATTTCAGCAACGAGAGGTCTAATACAAGATGTACAAAGGTCATGGCTGCAGGTCTGCTTTGTGTGACACGTGGAAAAAAAAAAAAAAAGTGGATATCTACAATTCACAGTTCAGGCTTAATTCATATGAAGTCTTTGCTCACACTGCCTAAACACTGCACAGGCAACACCTTCACACAAGCTAAAACAATCAGCCAGGCAAGTAGTAATAAACATACTCCTACCATTTAGCTCTGCTCTCTTTTGTAACTTCCTCTTCCTCTTCATCTTCACTGAATTTCAGCTTTTCTGAATAATCCACTTCATCATGGAGACCTGAAGAAAAAAAAAAAAGATTGAACAATGAGAAGTCTATATTGTAACCAATCCAGTAAACACAGACAAGCAATGGTGGAGAATTATTCTATTAATGCTTTAAGTGAACCAATGAATTACCAATGAATGGCAACATGTTCACAGTTGAGGAAGTCTGCCAATAGTCCACAATAAACAGGGAACATGAAGTCCAATTCAGGACAAGGTTCGAACAACTGCACTTGCCGTAGTAAACCATCCGCTTCCACCTGGATGGTTGATGTATGCCACAGATGGAGCATTGAACTGCTAAAATTAATATTGACAATCTGCATCAGGTGACCATATTTCAAAAGATGTGAGAAAAGAGTTATAAAGGTCTGAAGTGAAACTGAGCAAATAGAGACTGCATCAAACAAGGCCCAAGACTATCAAACAAAAGCAAAGAGTTTGAAGACTCGTGGACTGGAGAGCACATATATGAAATTGGAGAGTCTGAAGTTTTGCTGCTCGTGGAAGGAGGATTCTGTCCTAAACGGTGTCCAGGACTAGACCCAGATACTCCAAATGAGAAGTCTGTTCCAGCAATGATTTTTTTCAGGACCCATCCAAATCGCTGTAACAGAAGGTATCCCATAGTGGGGGATGTCACGAGAGTGCAGCAAGGGCAACACTGAGGCTAGAACTTTTGGTGAAACACCAAGGTGCATACAAAAGGCTGAAGGGCAGGGCCTTGAACTTGCAGTGAAGGTGCCACATAGCAAAGTGAAGAAAACATGCTAGTAAATTTTAACAGGTTGTTAAAGCAGCACTATACTCACCAAGAATCCAGTGATGCGTTGTCTCCGGAACTCATCTTCAGGGTCTCGATCACCAGCCTTGGTCATTGGCCGGGCAGAGATAATGTCGTGCGCAGGAGTTCCATCAAATTTGGCATTGCAAAATTCGCACAGCTTACTGTACAGGGGCAGACAGGCAGGTAAGTAGCTTTAATGCAGAAGAGACACATCATGTCTCTTCTGCATTAAAAATCCTGCCTGTGTTTTCATTGTGGAGCCTAAAGTTCCACTTTAAGGGTCTATGATGTACTCAGAAGCTAGAACCTCTCCCTAGTGGAGAATGGAAGTGATGACAAAACCTAGCGGTTTCCATACAGAATAGCATTCCTGAGCTCAAATGAATACATTCACTGCTTTGAAACCTGGAGTCAGAGGGAGGGCAGAGCACTTTCTATAGAGGGCGGGACTATGCACACATACAAGCTAATATCTGTATCAGGCAACAAAATGTGCTGCAGTAATCAAAATCCAAAAACCTGCAGGGAGCGGGAGGGGTTATATTGGCTGTCCTAGCAACTTTGTATGCCGGTGTAATCTGAAAATGGCAGCATATAACCAATGGCTAAGATCTAAAAGAGCCTGTGTCCCATACTGTATGATTAAATAAAATTATAGAAAGTATGTAGGAGTCTGGCTTTGTTGTCCAGATTCTGGACAGATTTAAAAAATTCCTTGACCAATTGAGTATTTAGCAATTTGCCTTGGGTCCACAGGAAATGTGCGGTTTATACTTTTGAAGACTTCACCACTCACCTGCCCAGCCATCTTCTGCATCATTGTCCAGGTCATCCAATTCTTTAAGATCTTCAGCATTAATAATAGTGGCACGTGGAGCCCTTTCAGGTTGGGGCCGTTGTGGCCGTACCGGCCGGAAGCTGCCATTATTAGGCCGGTTTTCTTTCCTGTTGGAAGAACATGATACATGGGAACATCCCAAGAAACATTTCATACAGAACAAGTAATACCATTATGGATGGAATGTACCTTTTTATGAATGTCAAAAAGCTTCACAGTAACTGGTTTGTTTTGTATGTGAAATACAATCTCCATTTGTCATAGAGGTCACAAGCTATACATGCATACACTCAATTTGTGGCCACCAGTGTTAATTTTGATGTCAAATTGTTATTTAGTTTTAGTCACTCTTTTGACTACAATGCCATTTTAGTTTTTAGTCATATTTTAATCACTGAAAACATGCAGCTGACGAAAAACTATGATGAAAATATATTCAACAAAATTACCATTGGTGGCCTCAAGCCCAAGCTGCACTCATTTCCACTTACCCTTCATGATTGTTTATCTGGTATTGTCTAAAAGGTACACGAGGTTCAAGACGGGATTGGGAGGAGGTAAGGGTGGGGAAGGAAGCTCGATCCAATGTCCCAGTGGGTTCAGGAGGGTGCTGAGAACACATCTGAAAAGAGAACAAAGTCACACAATCCAAGATCTCAATCAAAACAATAAAAGCTGCTAAAATGGTGTGCTTCATGCTAAGGAATTAGGCTTACAGCATTGCAAACGTTGAGAACTAATAAAGTCAGTAGGCAGGTGTGACAGTCAATACAAATAAAAAAAATAAAGGAGTTTGGTCAACAGCACCATAAAAAACAGCCATCAGGGACACAAATAAAAAAGGCTGTCAGGTGGGCGAACCTTTAACCGCTTCCCCTCCGCCCTATAGCAGAAATACTGCTACAGGGCGGCAAGGGTGCGCAATATATCTGCATTTCCGGGCAGGGGTCGCACACGAGCCCTACCAGCGTCGCCATTCTCGGTCTGAGCTGTCAATCACCGGGTCCCAGCCGGTGATTACTCACTAGCACCCGGTTATCGCCAAGTATTACAGACGGGGGAGAGAATTGTATGTAAACAATACAGTTCTCTCCCGTCAGCTCCTGCACACTGCACTGAGCCATACAAAGCAGTGCGCTTACAATGAACAGCACACACACAGCATACTATGAAACACAGTTAACCCTTTGATCGCCGTAGATGTTAACCCCTTCCTGCCCAGTGCCATCAGTAAAGTGTCAGTTTATTAGCACTGATCATGTCATTGGGGATGTCAGCGACACCAAGTCAGTTCCCCCCAGTGTCAGAATGCCCACCGCAGTCCCGCTGTAAGTCGCTGATCGCCGCCATTACTAGTGAAAAAAAAAAAGTTCCACTATATATATATATATATATATATATATATATATATATATATATATATATATATATATATATATATATATATATATATATACACACACACACACACACACACACACACACACACACACACACACACAACGTCATTTCTAAAAGCTATAACTTTCACGTAAACCTATTCATTTATACATATTGTGATTTTTTTTTTTTTTTTTTTAGGCCTCATGCACACAGGGCATTTTTGCAGCCACTTTTAGTGGTGTCAGGCATTTTTTTTTTACTGCTTCAAAACAGCCCTCCATGTTATTCTATATGTGTCCAGGCACAGGTAGATTTTAAAGCTTTTAGCAGCAGTAGTGTTTACCAGCAAGAGAAAAAACCCAGGGCCAGTGCATCCAGGAGTAGCAGTATTTTGGCAGAAAAAAATGCTTGACGCGTGTAAACATATTTAAATGAGTGTCAACGCTAGGCGCTTTAGCACTTGAGCGTTATTTCTTTCCAATGGCCAGAATAAATTATTATTCTGGCTATTGAAATAAACTAACGATCAAGCGCTTGACAATGCACCAAAACTCTTGTCAAAGTGTTAGACACTTTGACAAGCGTCAGGCATTTATGCTGCGAAGAGGAGGAGCCTAAAAGTGAAACTGCCATTCCTTATCCTACCAAAGTGTACCTGTGCATATAGGCTCTTTGTTACTCCCTCTCTCATGTCAGAGATCTCTAGCAATCCCTAGAAAGCAGGTGTGAAACCTTAGACTGGAAATCAGATTGCTTACGATTTCTTTCCGAATACAATTACATCACCCCACCTTTGCTGAAGGCAGCCAATAAAAACTATGAATAATTACAGGCAACAGGGAAGAAGGAAGCTAAAGTGAGAGCAAGTAAAGTGGATTTTTACACAGATTTTCACAGCTGTTATCTAGGAACTGCTGGAAAGCAGTGTCATGAGAGGTAGAAACAAAGCGCTCACAACAGCCTCTATGCACAGTTTAATGGAGCATTAAAAGAAATAACACGTCACTGTTTTCTGAAAGAGTTAGAAAATCAAAGTGGTGCATCTTGAAATTGTAAGTTACTTTTTGCAAATTAAGAACTTGCTAAATGCCTTGTGCAAGGTTTGTACTTGGTCATGTTTTAGGCCTTTGTTTTTCCTCCCAATAAAATTAACTTTTGCTTCAAGGTGGTCTGACCTCTTCTAGGAAATATGAATCAGGTGTGCTCCTTTTCTGACTCACTCAGCTCAAGTATGATGCACAGTTTTTTAGCAAATTAAATGTCATTCAGATAAGGATTATATCTACATCTCTCTGTCAGAGCCCCATCGTACAGATCGTGCAATGCCAATAAAAAGACGTGAATTAATTCTATTAGTACTGCTTAAAAACATTTTAAAAAAATGCCTAATATGAACTTAAATACATAGAATGTATCATACTGGCACTCACAAAAGCTGGCAGCATATCATGGTAGGTTGGTGGATGGTATGTGTTTCCCAAAAACTGTGAAGCCCCTTTTCGAGGAGGCTGAGCCGGACGTAGCGAAAGCTCCTTGGAATCATTAGCTTGCGCGGCAGAGGGGACCCCATCTCCAGAGATGGCGGACTTGCTGCCCGGCTCAGTAGGAGAGACGGTTGGAGATATGCCACTAGAAATGCTTCTCCCACCCGCCCTCCCTCCAACTGGTGACATCTGAAACAGGAGCATAAAAAGAAACCGAGATTAACACTTTCACCTTCCACTAACATGCTGGGGAACATGACAGATAAAGAAAACATGCAACTCCCCTGTTCTTACAACCCCTAGACCACTAAACAGAGCAATAAAATGACTGCATTTTATTGTACAGGTTTAATTTCCTGTGTTCAGTGAGAAATATATACATTTTGGAGAGATGTGCCTTAGCAGTCCAGCCCCCCTGAAAGCAAGTAAAATCTCAGCCTACAGTGACAGAACTCTGAAGACACGGCTAGCAGCAATTCCCAAAGGTTAGGCATCATACATGACCAAGAGCCTCTACAAGCTTAAAGTGGAAGTTAAGCCTATCTATTCTTAAAAATATTCCCTCCCCCTGCCTTCTCCCTATCCTGCATAAAAAAAGCTTTGTGTACTTACCCAATTTTAATCCGCTCTGCTCCAGTCACTATCAAGCATCTCCGGCTCCCCTTAGACAGAGAGCTGATGCTGCAGGGGATAGGAGGGAGACTGAACAGTGGCTGGGCCAGCTCATCAGTGATGTCACGACACATGGAATTCTCAGCCATTGTTAAGATGTCCCTTAAGGGGAGCCAGAGCTGGTGAATCACATGACTGGACCAAAAAAAAAAAAAAACCATACACAGGGTACTCTGGATACCTGGGGGGAAAACTTTTTTTTTTAAGAATAAGTGCACTTTAAAATCATGTACCATTTTTCCCAGCTTCCCCAACCTAGTCTAATCAACTCTCCCACTCTACAGATACTGAACATACTTCGGCTCCACTGTTTATTTACATGCAGATCCAGCACCCACAAGTCTTAATTGCCCGGGCTGGACCTACAGTTGCAAGAAAAAGTATGTGAACCCCTTGGGATTACGTGGAGTTTTGCATGAATTTAAAATGTGCTCTGAACGTCATCTAAGTCACAACAATAGAAGAACACAGGCTGCTGAACATAATACTACACAAACATTAGATCCTGCCATGGTTTAATTGCACATAACATGTAAACATTCACAGTGCAGGGAGGAAAAAGTATGTGAGGCCCTAGCTTAATGACTTCTCCCAGAGCTAATTGGAGCCAGGAGTGAGCCAACCTCGACTCCAATCAGTGTGATGATATTGGATGTGTTGCCGACAGCTGTCCTGCCCTTAAAAAACACACACCTGTTTTGGGTTTACTGGTTTCAAGAAGCACTGTCTGATGTGAACCATGCCTCGCAGAAAAGAGCTCTCAGAAGACCTACGATCAAGAATTGGTGACTTGCATGAAGCTGGAAAGGGTTACAAAAGTATCTCCAAAAGCCTTGATGTTCATGTGTCCACGGTAAGACAGACTGTCTACAAATGGAGAAAGTTTAGCACTGTTGCTACTCTCCCTAGGCATGGTCGTCCTGTAAAAATGACTGCAAGAGCACAGCGCAGAATGCTGCATGAGGTAAAGAAGAATCCCAGAGTGTCAGCTAAAGACCTACAGAAATCTCTGGCACATGCTAACATTTTTGTTGACACATCTACAATAAGGAAAACATTAAACAAGAATGGAGTACATGGGAGGACACCACGGAGGAAGCCATTCCTGTCCAAAAAGAATATTGCAGCACATTTGAAGTTTGCAAAAGAGCACCTGGATGTTCCACAGCACTACTGGCAAAATATACTGTGGACAGATGAAACCAAGATTGAGTTGTTTGGGAAGAACACACAACACTATGTGTGGAGAAAAAAAGGCACAGCACACCAACATCAAAACCTCATCCCCACTGTAAAACATGGCGGAGGGAGCATCATGGTTTGGGGCTGCTTTGCTGCCTCAGGGCCTGGACGGATTGTTGTCATTGATGGGAAAATGAATTCCAGAGTTTATCAAGACATTTTGCAGGAAAACGTACGACCATCTGTCCGCCAACTGAAGCTCCGCAGAGGATGGGTGATGCAACAGGACAATGACCCAAAGCATACAAGTAATTCAACAAAACAATGGCTGAAACAGCACAGAATACGCCTTCTGGAGTGGCCCAGTCAGAGTCCTGACCTCAACCCGATTGAAATGCTGTGGCATGACCTTAAGAGAGCGATTCACACCAGACATCCCAAGAATATTGGTACACTGAAACAGTTTTGTGAAGAGTGGTACAAAATGACTCCAGATAGTTGTGCAGGTCTGATCTGCAACTACAAGAAACATTTGGTTGAGGTTATTGCTGCCAAAGGAGGGTCAACCAGTTATTAAGTCCAAAGGTTCACATACTTTTTCCTCCGTGCACTGTGAATGTTTACATGTTATGTGCAATTAAACCATGGCAACATCTAATGTTTGTGTAGTATTATGTTCAGCAGCCTGTGTTCTTCTATTGTTGTGACTTAGATGACGTTCAGAGTACATTTTATGCCCAATTCATGCAAAACTCCACGTAATCCCAAGGGGTTCACATACTTTTTCTTGCAACTGTATGCAGTCATGTACCGTAAACTTCTAACAGGGCACATATCCGAAAGCTGGAGACCCTCAGAGATAGTCTCCTAGAAGTCAAAGGGCTGTAGTACACAGGTGCAATAAGTGATACTTATGGGGGCTGCATGAAAAACAAGTGGATTGAAACATGCCTGGGACAAAACAGATCTATACTCCAACATTTAAAAAAAAAAAAAAAAAAAAAAAAATGGATCACTTGGTCTTTTTACGCCCAATACTGTTCTAAGTTTCTATGTAACAGTGGAGCCATCAAATCAAAGTATGCAGCTGTAGAGGCGGAGGGTTGGTTAGGTTAGGTCAGGGGAAGGGGTAAAAAAAAAAAAAAAAAAAAAAGAAGGTGCACCTATTCTTTAAAGCCACTGATGATGCCTTGTTGTTGTAATATGGTACAAAAAGGCTCATAATTGAATTAAAGTGGAAAATCTATATTTATATTAGTACTACCAAACAAATTAATGCCAGCCAAACTCTTTTTGTTTAATTTAAAGTAGAGTGAGAAAAAGTTGAGAGCTTTTTATTGTGGCCTGTATTCTTCTCTGTCATCACTGGAATATGTAGTTAGGGAAAGTCTCAACAATGGGGACAAAAATGGAGATAGAAACTTGAAAGTGGTTCTAACCTTCCCTACTCCATGCAAATCTTGTAGACAAAACTAAAGTGGTCAGTAAGTACGTAGAGTGAATTTAATTAAAATGATCCTTATTCCCCAGCTCCTGCATTACTCCCCTGTAGTGCTCCCTCCCTTTTGCAGTAATTCTCTCTTCAGTTCCCTCATCTGGAATGGCCATCCACCCATAATCTGTCTGGAGCAGCTCCAACGTCCTTAGGACGAAGGTCTTGCTCTTCCCAACCCCTGGGTATACTAGTCTGCGGCATGATCCCAACACCTCTTAGGCTGCATGTCTCCTATCAAGGCCACAACTCTGGTGGCTATGAACCCCTTTGCCCAAATTACTCTTGCATACACACAAAATACCTCTATCCCTGAGACACTTGAATCGCAAGCGTTTAGCAAAACCAATAG